GTCTTCGCTAAAGTTGGAGAGTGTATTTGCCTAATGATTTCAGCTTCTTCCCATCCAACTACGGAACCTTGGGCCTGAGCCATCTGGGCCAGCACAGTTGCGTTTGATTTTTTCCTAACATCATATTTATGCTCTGTGACCCTTACCCCCAATTTCCTCGTTGTAACTCCTATGTACTCCTTTTTAAATCCTAATTGTTGGTGCTCGTACGGGATCTTATAAACTCCTGCTTTATCTTTTTTCTTAATATCCCCTTTATCGTTTCTTAAAATTTTAAATAAATTCGGGGCTCGTTTTAAAATCACCGTTGATCCTTTTATGTCCGCAATCTCCTTCGTAACGCTTTTTACATTTTTGTTGTAGGTGAATTTTATGTATTTACTAGGTCTTTGTTTAGAGTCCTTTGTATCCTTTATCTCAAAGTTTCTAACAATGCCGGCAATTATGTTTCTCCTGTAGCCTAAGGATTCTGCTATCCGTTTAATCCTGTCGATTTCTTTGTCTCTGTCCATAATATTGCCGCAATATAAAAAGGCTCTTCTAACTAAGGCACGAAATGCAGCCAATTTATAACGAAACGGATCATTAGAATGTGCGGGGATATATGCAAGTATCATAATGAGAGTTGATTATAAGAATATATTTGAATTTGATAGCATTTGAAGCTATCTTTACAAATAATATCAATGCCAAACATGAACAAAGAAAACAATAAAAGATTGAAACAAAGAAAAATTTCAATAAGGTACTGATAGAATGCGTATAACTTAGTTTGTAATTTTGTTTTCAGTAAATTCTGTTCTTCAATGTAACTGATCCCTGATATACGAGAAATATTGTGGATAAAGTGAAAATTCTCCATGTCTACAGATTTATGGTGCAGATACACTCTTCTGGGATGCAAAGCTCTGTCTATTCTTTCACTGAGTTGAAATGTTCAAATCGATCACTTCTTTCTGGCTTTAGGTTATAAAGATAATGGACATCGGAATATAAAGTGACATAAATCTCTTAAATTACTGATTATAAATTATAATGGAAATGGATACTCTTAGATTTTCTGAGCTATTGTAACCTAGTGTTTTTGATTGGAATAAAAGTTAATAGACTATTATGCAATTATTCTTTATGCTTATTCCTCATAACTTTATAAAAGCAAACTAATTTTTCATGTAATGAATTTAATGCATCATAGGAAATGTATTTGTTGTGACATGCAATTTAAAATTCCTTAGAAAATGGGTTGGATAAAAATGAATTTTCTCAGAAATTATTTTATTAGCAATTTAAGAAAAGCAATTTCTTAATATATCTTCAATTAAATTTAAATGGAATATACATTTTTATGAGTAGCATTATGCAGAGGGTTTCATAATACTACTAATTCCCATAGGAAAGACAAGGAACCTTGACACTTTTGTCGGTGTGTTTGTTTGTCTGTTTTTACTTAAACGTAATCACAAAAAATAAAGAAAAAGTATTAAAATAAATAAAAAAACTACACCAAATGAAAAAAAACTGTATCCACTTTCATTCATTTTCTGAATGAAAAGACATAAATAAAAGTGACTCTGAATGATTTTTTTCAAATTGATGAGCATTTTTTCTTTTTGTTTTCAAACAATCTCAATGAATAAATAGATCAAACCTCGAATGAATGGTGTAAGAAAGTAAATATGATTATGAAAATTAAGACAATGCTCAGCATTATATTATTTGCATTTATAGAGACGAGAGATGAGTGAATATGATAAAAAAAGAATTGAGAATAAAGAGGCATTTTTGAAACAAGGTTAAAGATAAAAATTTACTTATAATATATCAATTATTATTAAAATTAACACAATGACAAATGTGACTATAGAGAGAAAATGTGTTTTTCTAGCGACAGTATAATAGTCAGTACAAATACAGGATGATTATAATTAAAGTTCTACTTTGAAATGATTATAAAATGAAAACTACCGGTCAGAATGTTATCAAACTTGGTAATTGTATACAGGACGTCACGGGATTTTATTTTCCGCGAAAAAAAATAGTTCAAAAACTCACCATCAACGAAAAAATGGCGCTGTCTGCAATATTGTTAAACGAAATAAGACATGAAACATCGTTGAAAATGTTTTTTAATTGGTTTTAAATAGCATTACATAGCATGTTCAATGTGGTGTCCACCATTTTTGATAAGCAAGTTACATCGCATTACTGTTTTCTCAACAGTAGCTGTTATCATATCAGGCGTAACCCCACAAAAAGTTTCGTTTTAAAACCGATTTAAAACATTTACAATGATGTCTTCATATTTTATTAACACTCATAAAATTCTATGTCAATATTTGAAAATTTTTTTATTTATATCCAACTTATTTATATTTATTATTTGTCGTATTTTTAATTCAATAAGAGAAGACAGAAGGCGAATAAAATAGTTTACATTAAAGAGAAAAATCCAGCATTGAGTTTGCTTAACATACCCTGTAACATTTAAATAAACCATTTATTGTGTGAAGTCATCTATTCTGATATTTTATTAAGGACAATTTTTTATATTTAGGCCTATAATTATTATAAGATAGCAAAAAGGTTAATTTTTATAGTTGGGACAGGTTTAAAATTAAAAAAAAACAGTTGTAAATGCTAATAACGATTTAAATCATCACTAAGTTTGACCCTATTCCAAATACAATACACACCCCATTTATCTTCCCACCCCGCCGATCTTTAATCACCAAAATTTAACAGCTTCAATCCTTTTAATACACAAACCTTCGTGAAAAAAATTAGAATTTTTCGACAAAAAGCACAAAAGTTATTAGGCTTCAACTACGGTGAACAAAAGTGTGCCTCCCCCACACATACAAATACAAACACTAACATTTATACCTACAAAAAAGATCTTCGAATGATTTCCCATTTTTCGACATTTCATGGTCTCCTGAGTCCAAAAATGTAGGTTTACTTCTGTCATAAGAACTTTCATTACATTTCTAACCAGCTTACTTTAGATCAGCATTTATTCGAAATACAAAGTTATCATATTAATTTTATAATTATAAATAAATTTATTAAAACAAGAGATTTACTTCAATAAAGAATTTATTCTTAAAAAAAATCATTACAAAATATAATTTCTTAAGGACAAACTTCTGGCCCGTTGCAACATTCAGGATATATCCCTGTAGTTTTTTCAACGTGACATGTTTTTCCATTCTTTTCTACTGTAGCTACACCACATCTATTCAAGTATATATATTTTTAGAATTAATTACAAATTAAAATATAATATTTTTATAATTTTTTTTTCTATACTTACCCTAATATTTCGACTTGTGCCTTTTTGTTGTAAACAGGCTGAACAGATCCATCATCTAACATTTTATATGCTGTAGGACTTGATGATGCACTGCATATCCATGCTTCACATGCATCCTCTTCATAGTAAGTATCCCCAGATTTTACTAACACCCCGTTAATGTCACATTTACCTACAAAAATTTAATAAAATTCTTATCGAAGTTACTATTTTACACAAGATATATATACTCCTAGTTGAAAAATATAAAATGTTTTTTAAATTAAATTATATAAACTATGTAATTATATTATGGTGTTATAATGCTTACAACTTACCATTAACGTTAGGAACATTCTTCCTTGCAGTGTAACTGTTAACTACAACCAAAACACACATTAAAGAGAATAAAATCAGGTAAGTCATCTTTGATTTTCTTTTCCTGAGAAAATAAATAATTAAATTTATTAATTTAATTTTTTGAAGCTGTCCTAATCTAGAAGAGATTCCTACCTCTCTAACAAATAAAAATAAATTAAAAAGTATAGGGCTTTAAAATTTATTCTTGTAGCATTAAGTCTAATGATGAGTAAAGTGGATAAATAACAGTAACTATATTTGTGTTTTGGTTATATTTAAATAACTGGAAAAAATAACTGTTAAAGTGCTATGAGATGAATTCAAAACCATTGATGGATTCGTGTAATCTGCAATTGATTAATGGTAACATCTGACTATAGGTAAACTTCCATACATTATGTAACACTAAGGTCTTTGTATTAGAAAGTATAGAAACAGGAGGGTGTTCTTATGTTCGTTTCCTAATTTTATAGTGATCTAATCATAAAAAATAGCGTTATATAATTAATGAAAGCTTCCTAGACTAATACTTTTCTGCTCTTTTCAGCATTTTTTATAATCATGCTCATTGTGGGTTCGGTCAAACCCGCAATGGAGATTTATGTATTTATTTAGAGAAAGGAGTTAATGGCTACACTCATTGGTATAGCCACAAGGAAAGAGGCTGGGAGAGAGTGGAGTGGGGTAGAGGTAGAAAGTGATTGATAGAGTACAATAGAGATGAGAAATAGATGAAAGATAGAGATTAGAAGTGGAAGAATAAAGTTCTATGAGCTCCATGCTGGGTACTATATAAAGAAACAAAAAAAAGGCTCAGTGAAGATTGAAGAGTTGTGAGTTGATGGGACTTGAGATTTCCGGGATAAATTGCCCGTTAAAATTACAATATTTCTTACCCAAAAAGAGCCCGAATTTCCAAGTTGGCAGAATAGAAACCTAAATTGTTAGGAAATCTATAATTTACAGTTCTGGTGTTTTTTATGTGTTACTTATACAGTAACGTACATATGACGTACTATTTTTATTTTAAAAATAACAATCTGTTTTGTTTTATCAAAATAACAGTTGAAAAATAACAAGTTAAGTAACAACCCGTCACTAATGAGGTCATAAACTATAGCATGTTTAGCTTAAGTGTAATCTGTCTCCCAATCATTTTTGTTTGTTGACCCCCTTTTTAAAACTAGATTTAATTCGCTAACTCCTTTGTATATTGAAACAAAATTATAAAGAGAATGAAATAAAAATTCGTATATTTATTTTATTAAATATAAATTAAAATAGTAAAAAAAAATTCGACCCTCAAATAAATGAATTATTCTTATGGGGGATGGCTAGCAACTAAATTACAACCTCGCATTATAAGAGAAAAATCTTTGTGTCACATCTTTCCATATGGAACGTAGTGCAGTACATTTGTTTAGCATTGTTAAGTGTTTTTTATCCTATTCAGTTAAATAAAATATTGATTTCTGAGTTAATTATATGTAATAAAATTAATTAGAAAAAGAAAATTTGCCTAAAATATTATATATTTTTAATGACTTACCTTGAGAGTAAGTGATACCTACTGAAACTGAAGAGACTAGTGATTTAATTGTAGAGCTATGTATCATTAAATACTACCAGGAACACGTTATATTCTACGCATGTATCTTTTTACTCCCTCTACAAAATTTTAGGGAATGGCTTTAAATTATACAATACGTAAGTTAACACCCTAATTTTGTACCATTTAAAATTAAGCACAACTTAGAGCGATAATTATAAAAAAATCATTTCCTTCCTTCTTATATATACAGTTAATTTAATACTTATCAAAAAAGGAAATGTTGTAGATAAATTTTAAAACTTAATAAAATAGATTAATTTATTAATTTTAAGTTTAAAACATTTAAAATGCTTTAATTTATTTATTAAAAGAATTCCTTACAACATAGTATTATTAGGTGGAATGTGTTATAAGGGAGAGGTTCATTACAACACATTCAATTAAAAATATATAAATAATTACATAACCAAATATTAAAATAATTAATTCATTTTATTTAATTATTTAAACTAAATTAACATAAACCTACATAATTAAAAATTAAAACAATTAAATTAATATATACTAATTTATACATAAGCAAATATACGTACTTGTATATAGAACAATAGTTAAGTTATGCATGTAAATTCTAAAGAATAAAATGCAGCTGGTAATTTTATCATCATTTATTAACCAGCTGCTAGCATATTTATAACTTTTTTTATTTATATTTTGAAATAACCTGTATAATTAATTGTAAATTAAATCAAATTTTCATTTAATATAATCAAAACAAAAAAAAAAGCATTTGCTTCTATGGTAATTACTTACTTACTTAATTTATTTATTTATAATATTAATAATTTTCATAATAAATTAATTCTGAATTGATTTAATCACTTTTATATTAAAATTAATATCTATTTAAAATAAAATATTACTTATTTAATTAATATAATATATT